GTGCCAGCCCCCGCATCATTGCGGATCCAACAGCTCCAGCGCTGTCCTGTGCTGAGGGCTCCAGAGCTGGACGCAGGACTCCCGGGGGGGGTCTCAGCAGAGAGGGGCAGAGGGGCAGAATCCCCTCCCTCACCCTGTGCCCACGCTGCTGGGGATGCAGCCCAGGGCACGCTGGCCTTATGGGCTGCCAGCGCACGCTGGCACGTGTCCAGCTTTTCATTCACCAGCACCCCCAGGTCCTTCTTGGCAGGGCTGCGCTCAAGCCGTTCTCTACCCAGCCTGGATTTGTGCTTGGCGTTGCTCTGACCCATGCGCAGGACCTTGCCCTTGTTGAACCTCACGAGGTTCCACAGGCCCACCTCTCAAGCCTACCCAGGTCACTCTGGACGGCATCCCTTCCCTCCAGCGTGTCAACCGCACCACACAGCTCGCTGTTGTCGACAAACTTGCCCTCCCTTAAAACTGAAGCATAATTCTGTCCTGAAAATTAAACCCCAGCTTCTTCTTAACTCCCATTTAGAAACTGGAAGAGTTCACCTTAGTCTCACTGTTACGCTTGTGCTGTTCTCTTCCAGACTATCGGAATACAAACTGGCACAGTGGGATCATCCCTGTGGTAATGCAGGGGTTTAAAATGTTCTCTGTGTATCTTTACAGGAACAAGGACTTTCAGGAAGTTACCCTTGAAAAGGATGGTGAGACAGTGCTGCGTTTTGCAGCAGCTTATGGCTTTAGAAATATCCAAAACCTGGTTCTGAAGTTGAAAAAAGGAAAGTTTTTGTACCATTTTGTAGAAGTCCTTGCCTGCCCAGGAGGTAAGAATAACTGCGGGTCCACAGTCGTTCTGCACGCACATCTTGTGTCTCAAAGGGAAGTTGTCTTACAGGCAGCGCTTCATTTAATTCCCTCTTAATTCTTTTCTTAATAATCTAAAATGCTTACTATTTAATGAACCGTCCAGAACACCAATTACATGTGCAGGGTTGGCTCAGAAATTGATTAGGTTTTCTAAAATTAATGACAATGTTATTGGCTCTCTTCTGACCTATAAGTGAGAGCGTGCCTCAGGGTTATTTCAGACCTCAGAGGAAATGCACTGAAGTGGTGGTTGTCAAGGGCAAGAAAAGATGAGGAACGTAGTTAAGATCATAAAACCATGGAGAAGGCAGAGAAAGATTGTTGATATGGAAACCTCATTTACATGAAGATGATGTTGATACTGGAGTCGCTTTAAGTAAATAGAAATGCTAACAGCAGGGGGGGGGTGAAGCGTGTGTAAAAAGTCAATTCTTTTCTTTAGACAAGTAAGAAAAAAGAGTTCCAAGTGAACATAAACTTTCTCTTCATATCAAATCTCCATCACCCTTGCAGCTTTTGTCTTTTTTTGTTCTCCTAAGGGTGCCTAAATGGAAAAGGGCAGGCACAAACTGAAGATGGAAAACCGGACAAAGCACTGCTCAGCCAGATGGAAGAAGTGTACGCTGCGATACCTGTGAGACTGCCAGAAACCAACGTGCTCGTACAGAAGATGTACCAGGACTGGCTGGATGGCGTGGACTCTAAGAAGGTCCAGGAAACCCTGCACACCAAATACAGTGCAGTAAATCAAACAGCAAGCAATCTGGATATCAAATGGTAATAAATCAAACCTGTAAAAGATTTGCTTAGGTTAGGTACAGATTCATCACTGGAAACATTCTATGCAATCGCAGATGCTATGCACTAGCCGAGCGTGTGGGTGAGACGCTTCCTAACTCTGGATTAGTATTTGTGAGGAACCATTGCTTTGTAAAAACAGAAAGAGAAGTCTCCACGAGCCCTGGTTCCTGCCACTGTCATTTAACTTCTGCTGTGTGTAATCTCCTGTGTGTAATGGATTTCTGGATTCAAAAACGTGATCTTGCAAGGTATGTAAGCACTTTCTGCCAGAGGCAGGGAGTGTCATTCTGGGTGAAGTTACTCCCTGAAGTGAAGGGCTCCCTTCACTTCACCAGATGGGCTCCCCACAGGCGCCCAGGTTGTTTCACTCCTGCTCCTAGGTACGCAGTCCCTTGCATCGGGGAAGCAGTCATGATGAATTTCAGTATTGTTGCAGTTGTTGTGAAGTAGCTTGGGATTTACTTGCCTTGTTAACAAAAAACCCCTTTACAGGGACAAGTGTGTATATGGAGAAGCGTAATGAATTTATGTATGCTTTCTATCCATATTTTAACAAAAACTACTCAGTTCCAAACTAGTCACTGTTCCTTACTGGTGTAATACTTTTTGAGGAACAAGATGCTTCATATAAACTGGGAAAACTTGGGTAACTGATGCTAAATGGTTCTAATGCAATCCTTCCTTAAAAACACTTCCAGATAGGCTGGTTGGTACAAAAAGAGAACGCTTCTTTCCTTGTAAGATTTCTTCAAAACTAAGCTGCTTACTTTGTCTGGCTTCTTGAGGAGACCGAAACATGCACATGTGCTGTCACGTGAGCCCGTGCATGCTACAGCTGCGCTAGGTTTGCTGAGCCAGACTTAACAGCGCTCTTATTCTCTCATGTTTTGGTACGCAGAATACCAGGTGGTTCTTTATCTCCATGTTGACAGACTTCTGTAAAAATAACTTTATGGAGTGCCTCTGAAAAAAATACTTAGCAATGCTTGTGAGCTCATCAAAGTCACTACACATTGGCATCATGAATTTTGGTGCACTTACGTTACGGATGCTGTAGAGGTTTCATTGAACAGACATCTGAAAGGGGTATTTGCATGCAGGCTTTTCTGCAACTTCATGAGTTGCCAGAGGGCTATTCAAGAATACAATGGACAAAAAATGAAACTACTGCCAAATGTCTTCAGATTTTCCTATTAACATCAAATTAGTTCATGACTGATGGCTGTTTGAAGCTAGCAAAGTTTCAGCTTTCCTTTTCCAGTCTGGAAGTGTGGGTGGGCTTTTTTTAATCACCTCAGGCAGTATGAATGAATCTGCTTGTAGATTCCTTAATGTTAAAACCGCTGGTAGGGGTAAGATCTAAAACTGCAAAAACCTGTGCGTATTTGAAAGTCGCATTGAACTTGAACGCAGTGGACGGGATAAAGGCAGCAGTGAAGTCAGTGCAAGCTCCTGCACTGGGCAAACAACAGAGGCTCAGGAGAGGGACAGACTGGCGTGTGTTACCCTGATGACAGGAGATAGTTCTCATAACGTGGAGCTGTGAATACAGTTACAGCTTTCAACTGGACCTCCACCTGAATCACAAAACACTGCGCTTTGAGGGATGTTTTCTTCAGAGTGCAAGTGAATTTGGTTACTGTGCTACCTGAGTGCACACAATGAGACTATACCCATAAATTAGCCTTTGCAAGTTGTTCCTTGCTGTAGTAAACCCATTATACTTACATGGTGCAATATCAGAACACCTACAGCAATCTACCTCTGTACAGGGAGTCCGGAAATTGTGGGAAGACCTGTGTATAGCCGAAACTTTAATAGATACCTGCTAAAGAAAAGTGGTGGTTTTGCATGGAATTTCTGAACAGATGACTTTTAGAAGCAACATCCAGCTCCTGTGGTCTGATTTTTCTTTCTCTGCCATGATTTCCTCCAAAAACTTCAACAGAATTAGCTTGTAATAAAGTGGTCTTGTTCTGTTTGTATAGGCATATGTTTCTCTGTATATATGGTTTATAGCTCGGTGGCATGTTTAAATTATATTGCTGCAGTTCTTTGTACAGTACACCTGTTTTTTTTTAATGTGCATATACTGGATGAAATGGTATGAAAAAGTTGTTTGCTTTTCTGATGAAATCTTCACTAAACTACACACCCGCTGCCTTGCTGTTCTGAAAGGGTACCCCTGAACTGTTTGTACAGCTTGAAAAACACTCGTCTGGCGTAGGTGGCCCTGCCGCACGCACCTTCTGCCTGGGGCACTGCAGAGCCTCCCTGCCCGTGCTGCTGGGAGACCCGGGGAGTGGGCCGGGAGGTGAGGCAGAACGTGTCTACAGCACACCGTGCTGTGCTCCCACGGCCAGGGAGCGGGGTGGCTCAGTGCAGAAAACACGCTTTCAGTTGAATCCACCATTTCTTCCATCTGCTCCAGTGTGTTAACCTGTGGAGACAGTCGCAGTGTAACATCTCGTAGGTTATTTGTCCCACGGTGTTCTTTGTAGAGACGAGGAAGGCATCGACCTGGGCAGCTTTTAGTGGGTACGTAGTGGAATGTATGTATCATAACTAGTGACTGATACTTGTCTTTTTTTTGGTCAGCTTTTGTTTTATAACACTTTTTAGAGTAAAACTGATTTCATGTTTTTAAAACCCTTTTCTTTAAAGTGCCAGTTCAAAAGAAAAAAGTTTTCCCTTAACTGTAATAATTCTTTCCCCCTCCACCTTCTTTCACTGAAAATTTATCATATATCAGAAAACCTTGTTGCATCTTCATATATAGTGAAATACTTGCCCAAGATTTGAGTCTGGCTTTTAAGTCTACAGCTGGGAATTCTGTTGTTGTTGGCAGTACGTCTTCCTAGCCACACTTTCTGAAGCTCCAGCATTATTTAGTTCCCTGATACCATTTTGGCAACTAATAATTTTCATTGCTACTGCCTTTTCAGCAACGGAAGAGTTCCTAGTGTGGTCACAGCCGTAGTGCTTTACTTCTCAGCTGAATGTTGTGCTGAGACAACCTTGTCTCTAGACGCTTTCTAGGAAAGACTAGATGGGAGGGATTGCGGGAAGGTGACTGGAAATGTTCAGTCAATTTGGAACTTGTCTCGGGGTGTGACCACCATGTGCATATCAAGTGGTCGATGCCTTGGGTGTAGTACTTCATTCTGAGACCGCTGCAGCAAGGGGTGCGCGCTGTCAGGTACTGTTGCTGTGCCCTCTCCAGTGGGTCTGCCTGCGCCGCAGCACCTTCTGTCCGTCCGCTGAGGGCAGCGAAGCGGGGCAGGCATGGCTGTGCTTTCACCGGAGCAGCAGCTGTATCTGTACACAGCGGTCTCAGCTGGGTTTATTTGGATGCTGTTCAGTTGCCCAAGTTTTGGTGCTTTGTGTTCAAATGGAGCATGACCATGAATTGTCCTAAATAAATCTTGATACTGAAATACGTACTGGTTCTGTCTCGTTCCATGTAAAAGCTTGCAGTCTCACCTGTACTTTGTTGTAACGTGTGTGCTGGTCTGGTGAGTTTAGCTTGAACGCTTGGTGAGCCTCTAACAGTAATGCTCCCTCAGCTATTTATGCGTATTCCGGATTACAGCCACCCTGCAGCCTGTGAGAAGGGGAGAGCTGCTGGGTAGCAGCAGGGAGCGGTCGTTTGCTCTCTAGAATTGTAAAATAGTCCATTGAATCGTTGCAAGGCAGAGAAGCACCTTGTGGCTCTAAAGTTCTCTTATCTGGGAAGAATGACGTTGCTGGATGAAGCCAGTCACTAGCTGGGCTGAAGTTGGCTATAGATGGTTAATTAAAAATGGTGCATGAGGAAGAGGTAAGACAGGTGTCTGTGTGTAGCCCGATACTTAAAAGCAGAGTTGGAGGAAAGGATGAAAATGAGCCCTGACATAGACGAGGGCGACACTTGTTCAGCAATAGGTTGCACAAAAATCTGCTTGATGAGTTTCGCAAACATTTCCGTAGACTCCCTTGAGCAGTTGGGACCCTGCCTCCCCAGAGCAGTACCCAGGCCTGCGCTTCGTCCAGGGGTGGGGAGGGGGAGGAGCGCATCCTCGCCTTGGCCCTGAGCAGAGGTGTTCCGGTGCTGTGCGGAGAAATGACTCGAAGGACGGGCTTTGGCGAGGGGAGCCCAGATGTTAGGATGGCCGTAGCTACTCTTGAGATGAAAAATAAATACTGAGGATTTGTGTCAGCAACGCAGAGGTAATACCCCCTGAAACTGCAGAGCTGGATCTGTGAGATCCCACCCACCCTGAAATTGCCACGTTTCTGTCCCTGGCTTCCAAGGGAGCAGCTGGGTGCGCCTGAAGAGTCAGGTCCAAATCCTGCACGTTTATCTGCTGAAAACTGTGATTTTCCTCAGTGTGAATCACTTATTTTTTTCTCACAAAAAAGATAACATGTAAGACAACGGTAAAGTATAATGAAGGATGTAATTAAACCGTAGTAAAAACTATTTGAGGTTATATTTGATCTCCTTGCTACATGTGTAGCTGTCCATTCGGCTGAAGGAAACCAGGAGCAGCGCAACACGGTCCCGGCCCAGGCAA